GCTGTCGATCCAGGTACTGCAGCTGAAGGACACAAAGGGGACCAAAGCAAAGCTCTGATTGAGGGAGTGCTGAGCCGAATCTTGTACAGTCTTAAATCCCCAAACTGTCCAGCTGCATGTACATTTGTCACACCATGTGGCTGAATTCTCGCTGCTCATTGGGGCCACGGCCCGGGCGAGGTTGCATGTTTTTGGAGCAGTTAATGTACAGGCGATTATCGCCACAAGTTGGGATTCAGCTGCTTAGACGGCCATGTCTTAGACATGTCCCCTTGTATATTGCCACGCTAGGACGACCACGGACGTTCGCGCCACGAGAGAGTAGTAGTAGTAGTAGCAATAGTAGTAGTAGTAGTAGTAGTAGTAGCAGCAGCAGCAGTAGTAGTAGTAGTAGTAGTAGTAGTGGTAGTAGTAGTAGTAGTAGTAGTAGTAGTAGTAGTACTGGGATTACTACGGACTACAACTACTACTATGACGACGACCACTGCTACCAGCAGTACCACTGCCACTTTCAAATCTATATTCCATCTCCACCACCACGACTAGGGTGGTGATGAAGAGATAATGGTAAAGAATAAGAAGATTATGACCTTGATGATGATGATGATGATGATGATGTAGTGGTTGATGATGATGGTGACGACGATGATGATGCTGGCTATATGCTGGTAGCGGTGCATTTATGTTCTGTGTTCGTCTTGCTACAAGGACTAGAAGACTTGGTTGCTTGTTCAGGTGCTTGGGCATGTACTTATCTCGCTTGTTAAATTTGATCGTGGGCTGGCTTTAGTAAGGCTGCTTGCAAAATAGCCTCTGGTCGGTCGATGTTGAAATCCGGGAGGGAGGGTGGGTGGGTCAGGGTTTGGGGTTTTGCGATCGCTGCTTTAGTTGTGCACCAGGCGGTCCTGGAAGAGACATTTGCCAGAAATCCGCCGCAGAACCGGGTGCCCCTCACGAAGGCACCCCACCTTCGGCCATGGTCAGTACTCCTGTTGGATTCCGTGATTGAGGATTTAGGCTGAAACATTGGAATCCCATTGCATCTTGAGGGTCTATGTAGCTTCTAGGACAGTATGATCTTTGGGTTTAGGGCACTAGGCGCAAAGGCTTTTAGAGTTTGTTTCTTTCTTATGGGGGGGGGACTTCTATTTATGCAGAAGCTTCATTCGTTTCCACGGCCGGGGCTTTGAACTTGCGTCCCCTTACCCTAAACCCTAAACCCTAAACCCTAAACCCTGTCGTCGTTATTCGTGGACCCTAAGCCGCAGTCCGTGAGCCCCAGTGACCGAACCCGGGTCTTCGCTGGGAGGGTCCTGACTTCCCCAAGAGCCAAGACAACGATCTTCGACTTGGGGAGGCTTAGGGTTTTAGGGTTTCAGGGTTTCAGGGGTTTAGGGTTTAGGGTTTAGGGTTTAAGGTTTAGGGTTTAGGGCTCATTGTGCTACCTCTGAATGCCCCACAACCCTGCACTGACACCCCCACGCTAAACCACACGGCAGCGCGAGGCTCCCAAGTCCCGGAGTCCCCTCTAAGCCCCCAGAAGCTCACGATCTTGATTTCCGGGATCCGACGTTTAGGGTTTAGGGTTTAGGGTTTAGGGTTTAGGGCATCCGATTCCGGAATCGCCTCTTAAGTAAACCCACAAAGCCCAAAGCCCAAAGCCCCGACCCTAGGAACCAAAGCTTAAACCCAGAGCAGTACTCTGATCCTAGCCCTTACAGTACCCCAACAGGAACCAAAGCCCAAAACCAGAGAAAATAAGACTACACCCTACTGCAGTACCCTGATGGTTGCCTTTATAGGATCCCAAAACGATCCCTTAGCTTGTACTGCCAAAGCCATCGGACAGCTCTTCGACGTGATTTGTGCTCTGGAGTTGGAGTACAAGGACCGCGACTTTATTTTTTTAGCGTTCCGAGGAAATGCGTTCGTAGTTATATGTAAAGAGATATGTAGATATACAGATACAGATATGGATACAGATACAGATCTACATGAAGATGTAGATGTAGATATAGGTGTGTATATATATATATACACACATGTTCAGTCATGCATTTGTCAATACACAATATACATGTTTAGGTGTGTGTAGGCATATATATATATATATAAATATACATAAGCGGACGGTACGGGAGTACTGCCACCGATTACTCAGACTGCGTTTCACAAACAGCGAGAAAAGGACCTGGGCATCACCGTGCCGAACACCTGGAAAGCCGCCTGCGCCGATGCAGACCGCTTCGAGATGGAGAGGCCTCCCAAAAGGAAGGTCTAGTGTTCAAGGTTTAGGGTTTAGGGTTTGAGGTCTGGAGTAGGTAACCTTTAACTTTTTTTGGGGTGTATAAAATCCAAGATGCTCCCAAAGGGTAACCTGGTAACCTTCAGTTCCCAGGATACTGGGCAAGTAGGAATAGCAGGGGCTACTACAAGGGTTGCTGAAGGGTTACTCTTGTGGTTACTCCAGGGTTATAGGAGTCAATACTAGTGGTCTTGCATTGGTCGCCGTTGTCCCGTGGGTCGTTCAGGCGTGTAGCGACTAGGGGTTATGAGTTCTATATGCTCTGTCTTTGGTTCTTATTCAACAAGTCAACACAACTGCTCGTGATTATCGAAGCCAGGAACATTACTATATTTGCAGAGTCCGAACCCAGCTTCAAACCCTATAGATCCCAATAGCAAAGCCCCATTTCGGGAACAAAAATCCAGATAAGCTGTACATGAATGACCCCCGCTGAAGAGGCTAGAGTCGGCTCGGCTGCACAACGAGGTGGTCATGCGGGCTCGCACCCTAGAGTTTAAGGTTTCGGAACTAGGTTTTAGGGTTTTTTAGTGTTTAGGGTTTAGAGTTTAGGGATTTAGGATTAGGGGTTTGGGTTTGGAGTTCTGGCCAGGGTTGATTTTGTTGGTGTTCGGCCGGTTGAGGTTCGGTTCACTGGGAGCGCTGAATATTTTCGGTCCGGCATGAGCGAGGGAGGCTTGTCGCCATCTTCACACAGACAACTTGTTTTAAGACATTTACCATCTATGCCAAGACCGGTCAGAGTCAGAGGGCAAAGAGTGGACCCGAAACGCAGGAGAGCCCTACCCTAACAATTCTTCGGGTTTCGGGGTTAGCCTCGCCCTTGTTTAGGGTTTACTGGGCGTTCTGGGTTTATGGAGTTCATGGTTTGTAGGGTTGGGTTTGTGGGGTTCAGGAGTTTTAGGGTTTAGGGCTGCCAGATGCTTCCAGGAGGTCGAAGTTTGACCAAGACTCAGCTGATTTCGAGACCTATGCTCAGGACCCGAGAAACCAAGAACACAAGCAGACCCCGGAGCTGCTAGAACTGATGGTTCGACTTAGGGGAAAAGCTTTGCGCGTCTTTGGCCGCACAACCGTGCAAAGGTTCACCATCTTTGGGCTAGGCGGCTCAGCTGTAGAGTTAGGAATGACAACAATAACAGTGATGCTAATGTTACTAGTATCTTAACAGTAGCACTAGTTCTAACTATAGCAAGAATAGCAACAATACGAACACTGCAGGTGTTCGCAGCCAGGCCTGTTGTTAGTTGGCATAGGAGGGAACGGCTGCGAAGCTCTTTAACCTTAAGCCTTGAACCCTGAACCCGAAGATACATCAAGCCTAAGCCCTTATCTTCGCCTTTCAGTGCTTCCTTCAACCCCTGCGCAGAACTCTTGAGAATGAGGCACATCCGTCAACATTTTAAAATATCTTTACAACACCATAAGCCCTAACCCTGTTGTTCAGCACCCTAAACCCTAAACTTCCCAAGCCCTGAACCCTCCTGACCCTAAACCCTAAACCCTAAACCCTTATATGACCTTAAACCCTAAACCCTTATGACCCCAAACCCTAGACCCTAAAGAAGCTCAGAAGCGCTAACGAACCCCGAACTTTCAGTTCGACCATCTCCGCGGCGCGACCAATGGCATGCGCTGGCAGCCATGGGCTCAAGAAGAAAAACAAACATAGGGTTTAGGGTCTAGGGTCTAGAGTTTTGGGTTTTGGGTTTAGGGTTAACCTGGACCCCAAATAACCTACCTGTTTAGGGTTCCTTATCATGAGGTTTTTGTATCTAAGTCCTTAGAAAGGTAGGTTATTAGGGGTTTTAGTAGGGCAGAAAACGATTAGTGGTTACCTATACTATTTTGGAGGGGGGGGGGGGGGTCCTTATTATAATAAGTATAGTACAAAGGGCCCCAAAACGGGTTATGTTCTGTTCAAGGAAACTACAGGTGGGGAGTGTAGGGTATATAGAGGCTTCTATGAGGCTTCCATAAAATATATGGGTGGTTGTCAAAATTAGGGTCCCTTTTTGGGTCCTTATTAGAATACGGCACCTATTATTTAGGGTACCCCAAAAGGCGCCATAATTTTGACAACCACCCATATAGACCTTCTATAAGTTTCCTATAACGGTAACTACCCACCTGAAAATGTCCTAGATTCAGTGTTCATAGAGCGACTCAGAGACTTCCCGGCTTGGGGTTTAAAGGGCTAAGTTTAGGGTTTAGGGTTTATAGGGCTTTTAGGGTTTATAGGGCTTAGAGCTTAAAGGGTTTAGGTTTTGTAGGGATCGGGGCTTATTGCCGTTTTAGGGTTCAGGGTTTTTGGGGTTTAGGGTTACTAACTCCAATGTCCCTTGCCCTAAGGGTTCCATGTACCTGCGCCCCCAACCCTCAGCCTCTAAGCCCTACCTAGTAAGGAATAGTATAATGTAGGGGCCTAAATCACTAGTTATTTTTTTGGGTACCTTATTATAATTATAGTAGAATATACCCCAAAACCCTGTTCTAATTATTAAGGCCCCTACATTAGATTATAGATTTGGTCCTCCAGAGGTTCGTAAAACAATGTAGGGGCCTAAATGATTACCTATACTATTTCTTTTTTTTTCTTTTTTTTTTTTTCGGAGGGGGGGCGTTCTTATAGTTATAGTAAAATGGCCCCAAAACTCTATTCTAATTATTAAGGCCCCTGTATTATATAGGTGTTTCAAGAGCAATGACCGAAATGGCATGTTGTTACGAAGATAAGGGGTGGAAAACTTCAGGCTACCTGTTTCGGTGTCTTTGTAAAGGATGCGTGTATTGCAGATCTTCTTTTGGCTCCCTGATAACATCGTAGGGAATCGAACCTGTAGTCTCCACTGTAGTTCTTTTAGGGTTTGGGGTTTAAGGACTTTGGGGTTACAGGGGTTCAGGGAGTGAAGATACCTATAGTCTCCATTGTAGTTCCATTTTTTGGTTCAACCAATTATATATTAAAGATTTTACAAGGTTTCCCCAAAAAAAGAACTGCACTGGAAACTACAGGAAGTATATGAAAGTTAGTGGGGGTTTGGGGCTCGACCCTAAACCCAGCATGTATAGTGCGAATAGCTACCATAGGGGCCTTAATAATTACCTATTTTTTTCGTGGGGGGTTGAGTATTGTGACTAATATATAATATAATTTACCCCAAAACCCTATTCTAATTGTTAAGGCCCCTACAGTATAGTAAGAACAGCTAAGTATATCCGGGCTCCTGGATTCGGGGAATGATCCAGGGCTCCAGGTGTCGGCGGTGGTGTTTGTAAATTGCAGGTGTGGGTTCTTGTCTTCTGACTCTTTCATGTAGGGGTTTAGGGTAGTTAGAAGAGGCACCTAAGGTTGCCACTGCCAGGCTGGAGTTGATTCACTGATGCATGTACTTTAGTATTGTATTATAGTGCCGTGCTGCCCATCCATGTCGTGTCAAACCATCTAAGACTTAAGACAACAACTAGCATCGGAGCCTCAATCGTTATTGATGCTATAAGGTCCTGTGTGTATGTCATGTAAGAATACTCCGGGCCCCTAACTTGATTGTAAGCATGTGTATAAAACATTCCGAAGCAATATACCATACATGTTTGAACGTACATGTCTTTGTGTATGTTCATCAACAAGGGTATAGGTTTCACATGAAAAGGCATGCCCCGTTCATTTCTCGAAAACTCGAAATAAGCATTTTTTGGCATGAACGCCCTCCTTGCGGTTGCTGGTCGTGTAATTGCAGGCCAAAGATTCGCAAATAGCTAAGGGTTTAGGGTCAAGGATTTAGTGTGCAATTCGAAAGTGATCCTAAACCCCCAAACCCTAGACCCTACAACATTTGTCCTTATCGAAACCCTAATTGGTAGACATTGCGCCCCAAGCACAGAACCTCAGTCCTGCACCGCTACTCATGGTTAGCCGATATCGCCGAATTCCGATAATATACCTTAGTTACACACGGCTCCTGATCAGTAGCTTGCGGAGTTTTCCGAAAGTTGCTGCTTATCAAAGGTGTATCGGGCCCCCTGCCTACTCTCTTCACTCCCTGCCTGTAGTCTCCCATCGTAGTTCCCTTTTGGGGATACCTTATAAAATCCTCAATATATAATTCGTTAAACCAAAAGACTAAAAAAGGAACTACAATGGAGACTATAGGTATCTTCACTCGCTGAACCTCTGTAACCCCAAAGTCCTTAAACCCTAAACCCCTGAACCCCGAAGTCCCTTCATGTCAGAGCCAGCCGGAGGCTGCGCATGCAGCGGAATCAAGCGTGCGGCCCCTACCGAGTAGATCTCTTCGACGAGGCCGGCTTAGGGCGTCGGTTTTTCATGAACCCCTTAAGAGCCCACCCAAAACGAGGGTGGGCTCGTTTTGGTTGGGCTCTTAAGGGGTTCATGAGTTTTGGGGGCTGTGGCTTTGGTTTCGGGGTCCAGGCAGTCGATTTTTGCGTTTTGCTGTGGACACTCGGCAGAAAGATGTAGGATCGCTATGTACATGCATCATTGTTTGCTCCGTATCAACAGCCAGCCCGACAGCTTCCAAGACGCTTCAACCCTGAACATCAGAAACCCTAAGCTTTTTTTATGCCAAAACCCTACATCCGTAAGTCCTAAGCCCCCCCCCCAATGGCCTAAACCCTATAGACCCCGTGCAGTTTAAATCTTTGTGAGCCCCTCCTTCGCCCTTTAGCCCATGCGGTGTTCAGCATGCAACTTGGTGCAGGACACAAAGACTGCCCTGGATCTGGAAATTATCAGGCCAGTTGCTAATGGTTTGGGGTCTAAGCTGTGCAAATTGCTGCAGGGTTCAGGGTTGAGCGCCTACAGAGCCCATGACCCCGTAACCAGCCGTATAGGTAACTCGGCTCTTAGCGAGCTATGGGGGCGGTGGGTGTGATATTGGGGCCTGATGAATGCAGGGGCGGCTCCTTACTACAATTATAGTAAACCCTAAACCCTAAACCCTAAACCCTAAACCCTAGTCTAATTATTGAGCCCCCTATATGCAGTAGCAATAACTCAGCATCCCGTGGGCTTCCCTCATACATGGGCCGGAGGCCTCTATGCTGAGCTTAGGGTTTATGTTGTTTAGGGTTTATAGGCTTTAGGGTTTAAACTTCAGGGTTTAGGCTTCTATTGGGTTTAGGGTTTAGGGTTTAGGGTTTAGGTTTAGGCTTTAGGCTTTAGGGTCTAGGGTTTATGGTTTCCTTTACTTGGGTCCTCCACTGGCAACGGAGTGCTGCCGGTCTGTGCACTGACCTTTCAGTGCAGAGTCGTTCGCTTGCTGTCCATGTCCATGTCACCCTGGATTAAGAAGCCTATGATAAACCCTAAACCCTAAACCCTAAACCCTAAACCCTATGAAGACTATGATGATGCTGCTGATGATGCTCATGATGACGATGGCGATCGCGATGGTGATTTCAGCGGTTTTCGTCACAGCTCTGAGGCTCAAGACCATGGTATGCAGCTGCTTGAACTCAAGGGGAAAGGCTTGTGGATGCCAGAATCACCTAGCTCGACTTTATTCTCCCCTCCCTAAACCCAATCCGGCCCTAAGGTATAGGGCTTCGTGCCACAATCTCTCCCCTCCGAAAATAAACCCACAACAGATCCGGTCTCCTGGCCGGCAAGCCCGAGCCTTCTCAAATCTAGCGGAACATGAGGTAGTTCTGGAGCAAAACCTATAGTCTCCATTGTAGTTCCTTTTGGTTTAACCAGTTGTATACTAAGGATTTTATAATAAGGTATCCCCCCAAAAGGAACTACAATGGAGATTACAGGAAGGCTTCAAAGGTCCTCTATACAACTTCAAACCCTAAACCCTAAACCCTAAACCCTACCTCCCGAATCTCCTAAAGCAACCCAGTACAGCTTCTGTACACTTAGGGTTTAGGCTTTAGGGTTTAGGGTTTAGGGTTTAGAGTTTAGGGGCTTGGGGTTCAGGGTTTCAATAATCCTAAACCCTAAACCCTACACTTTGTAGGCCTTCAACCGAAACTCCAAACCCTACCCCTAAACCCTAAACCCTAAACCCTAAACCCTAACACCCAAAACCCAAAACCCAAAACCCTAAACCTAAAACCCAAAACCCAAAACCCTAAACCTAAAACCCAAAACCCAAAACCCTAAACCTAAAACCCCAAACCCAAAACCCAAAACCCTAAACCCAAAACCCAAAACCCAAAACCCTAAACTCTAAAGTCCGAATCTCGCCAGTTGGCCCACGGCCCGGCATTTGAAGCACCGGCTTCTTGAGGGCCTTGGTTTC